CTATGGTGGGAGGTGAAGGGGGGCGGGGCGGTGACATACACAGCTGGGCGCTGCGTTCCCCATGCAGCATCTGCATGGGGACCACGGGGCCCAAATTGCCACTTGTGCCGCTTGCTCCCCCGCAGCGGCCTGGCTGAGTGGCGCAGAAGTCAGCCGAGCACCATGGCGGGAAGCAACAGCATCCCCCAGAGGCAACTCGTAACGCTACAGCATTACAGAGTCACAGACATTGGGCTACTATATATATGCGCTGCGTTCCCCATGCAGCATCTGCATGGGGACCACGGGGCCCAAATTGCCACTTGTGCCGCTTGCTCCCCCGCAGCGGCCTGGCTGAGTGGCGCAGAAGTCAGCCGAGCACCATGGCGGGAAGCAACAGCATCCCCCAGAGGCAACTCGTAACGCTACAGCATTACAGAGTCACAGACATTGGGCTACTATATATATGACTAACCAATAGCCCATCATAAGACAGGATTTTTGGATCTCTCTCCACGTCTGACTCTCTCTCTCTCTCTCCTCCTCCGACTGCCTCCCCCTCTCTCTCTCAGCTCTCCTCCACCTCCTGCCTCTCTCTCTGTCTCTCTTTCTCTTCTCCTCCCCCTCCTGCCTCTCATTCAGGGGACCACAGAGCCCAAATGGCCGTTTAGGCTCCATGCTCCCCCTGCAGGAGCAAGCAGCGAAAGTGGCCATTTGGGCTCTGTGCACCCCATGCTGCATGGGGAGTATGGAGCCCAAACAGCTGCTTGCGCCTCTTGCTCCTGCGCGGCGGCCCAGTTGAGTGGCACAGAAGTCAGCCGAGCACCACGGCGGGAGATGAAGGAGGGAGAGGCAGTGACATTCATGGCCAGGGGGTGGGGCCTGGAGCCACTGTCAAACCACACGTCACCACCCCACCCTCCTTCGCCTCCCGCCGTGGCACTCAGCTGACTTCTGCATAGCTCAGCCAGGCCGCCGCTGGGGAGCAAGTGGTGGAAGCAGCCGTTTGGGCTCCCCTGCGGCGGCCCAGCTGAGTGGCGCAGAAGTCAGCTGAGCGCCATGGTGAGAGGCGAAGAGGGGTGGGACAGTGACTTACACGGCCAGGCCCCGCCCCCTGGCCATGTACGTCACTGCCCCTCCCCACTTCCCCTTCCGCCGTGGCGCTCGGCTGACTTCTGTGCCGCTCAGCCTAGCCGCCGTGGGAGAGCAAGCAGCACAAGCGTCCTGCATGGGGGTGCTGCATGGGAACCGCAGCGCCCAAACGGCCCTTTGCACCGCTTGCTCCCCCGCGCAGAAGTCAGCCGAGTGCCATGGCGGGAGGCAACAGAGGGAACAGCCAGCATTTCAGCATTACAGAGTCACAGGCACTGGGCTACTATACTTGTAAAATGGGTACACTACTTGTAAAATCATAGGACTGGGAGAGATCTTGAGAGGTTATCTAGTTCAGGCTGTGTCTAGACTTCATTCCTTTTTCAATAAATGGATGTAAATTAGGCACGTCGATATTGCAAATGAAGCTGGGATTTGAATTTCCCATGTTTCATTTGCATAATGGCGGCCCCCGCTTTTTTTTTTTTTTTTGAGGCATAAGGCTCTTGCGCAAAAAGGAAATGTCCATGCTGCTTGGTTTTGCGCAAAAATCTATATAGCAAAAACGGATTGGCAGAAAATATGCACATGAGATCGTGACTCATGCAAATGAGCCCCTCATTAGCATATTTTCTGCCACAAAAACTGGCAGAATAGACGTAGCACTCGAGCCTTGCAGTCACATCTGATTTGCTCCTGGCCATACCTCACAGTATCTTCAGTGTCCACATGGATGAGTGGCATGAGGTAGTAGTCAGAGGCTCTGGACGATCCTTAACAATCCCTCTGTAATTTCTTGGATTCAGGACTCTGGCAGGCAGCATAGCTCCTGGGATGCCAGGTCAGAGTGATGATAGGTGCCTCTGTCCCCCTCAGAAGAGAGTCACCAGCCACCACTTTCCTACATTTCCTTCTGGGTGTAGTGTCTGTGATCCGCCTGGCCTTGAGGCTACTTGGCTTCTCCTCCTCCACCTTTTGGGGATGATTCCTCATAGCTCACTGTCAAGGTAGCATAATGGTTCTTCATCACTATGGTGGCTGGATTGGAAGTAGGGGTGGAGTATGACTGCTGCCAGGAGTAACCAGCATTCAGTGTCCTCCCTCTGACTGAGTCATATCTTGGTGGCATGATAGCAGGTCTCTTTAGCTGGATAGCTTCCTCAGCCTTGGATGTCTCACTATGAATGCTCTCAAGTAATTCCTCAGGAGCATGGATGCTCCTCAGCCTAGCCATCTCCTCCTAGCAGCTCTCCCACCTGCTTCCAGAGAGATTCCACCAGCAGACACCTGTCACACTGGCTGGTCCCTCCTGCCTGGCTCTCTGAGAATGGAAAATGCAGGCCATAGTCTCTGCAATTAAAACACCAACAGCTCCTGGTCATTAGCAGGCAGGACTGAGTCTGGGACCTGTGGAACTAAATGCAAGAACTACTGCCTGAGCTAATAGCCACATAGCCATTAGCTAAGGCTATAGAGCAGACTCATTTTTCTCTAAGTGGTCTTAGTTCCACTACATGGGATGGAACACTTCACCCAGGAGTGTGAGTTACCAAATCCACCCCAGGACCTGGATAGAGGTATTTTTTATCAGAGTCTTTGTCTTAGTGTACCGTAGGTGAAGGAGCGAGCAATGTTGGCACAGGCAATGCAACCTTTCCTAACCACTGTGATTATATTACAATCTGTTGACCAGCTCCCCCTGGTCACTTAGCATTTGGCTTTTAAAGCTTTCTCTCCCAGATCAGTGCTACTCCCATAGGAGGACAGTGATCACAAGGAGGACTGAGCCTTTTGTTCCCTAGATCATCTTTGAACAGCCTCAAACAGTCCCCAGACATACAATCCCTAATGGTCTAGTATTGTCATGGAGGAGATGGAGTAAGCTCAATCTGTTTCACAGAAACCTGGAGCTGAATGGGAACTGAAAAAGTCATCTAGTCCATCCCCCCCACATTGAGGAAGGACTATGTATACCTAGATCATCACTGACAGGTGTTTCTCTAATTTGGTTAATAACATACAATGACGGGGATTCCACAACCTCCCTAGGTGACCTGTTCCAGGGCTTAAATATTCTTAGAATTAGATTTTATCCCTAATGTTTAATTTGGAGTTTTCCTTGCTGCAAATTAAGCAAATTGGGAATTGTCTTACCCAAATTAGAGGACATGAAGAACAATTGATTGCTGTTCTTTTTATAACTAGGGATATAAAATCCTGTTTAAAATATTAATCTGTTAAACTCTGGCTGTGTCTAGACTGGCATGATTTGCGCAAAAGCGGCCACTTTTGTGCAAAATCTTGCCATCTGTCTACACTGGCTGCGAGTATTTGCGCAAGAACACTGACTTTGTAATGTACAAAATCAGTGGTTCTTGCGCAAATACTCTGACGCTCCCACTCAGGGATAAGCCCTCTTGCACAAGTATTCTTGCACAGGAGGGCCAGTGTAGACAGCAATGTTAATTTCTTGGGCTAAAATGGCCATCGGAGCTTTCTTGTGCAAAGGCACATGCCAGTATAGATGCTGTCTTGCACAAATACTTTTAATGGAAAAACTTTTCCATTAAAAGTATTTGCGCAAAATCATGCGAGTCTAGACGCAGCCTCTGTGTTTAACTGATTAATTGATTCACTGCACTGAGCTGTGAGCAGAGGCTTGCTTCAGTCCAGTCAAGCTGGAGTGGCCCCTTGCCCACAGCATGGCTGGGCCGTGATGTGTCCTGTTGTGCCATAGGCTGCTCCAGCCAAGCCTGGCTGAGCCCACCAAATCATGCTGTGTGCGGAGCATGGCGCAGTGCCATGGGTCTGGCCAGGCTGGGCTGAGACCCACTGTCCCACGGGCGAGGGCTGGTCTGGTAGGCTGGGCAGAGCCCATCGTGCTGCACTGCAGTGGGGTGTGCTTGAGCCCCTCACCTGTGGTACAGCATGCCACAGCACGGTTGAGCTGGAGTACCCTCCGCGCACGGCATGGCATGGTGTGGTGGGCCCAGCTGGGTAGAAGATTCATATCTTCCTAAAGTACATGCAGGAGTTCAGCCAGAAGATATAGGGCTTGCTGGTGTCATTTATGTGGTAGAGAAGAATAATTCCCTCCGCTGAGGGAAGCTGTCTGGCCTGGATCCTGTTGGAGATCAGACTAGATGTTCAAAATGTCCCTGTCTATGAATAGGACATTTCCTATGTTGATCTCTTTGGTGCTGTTTGCCCTCACTCAGGTTAACGGGGTGACTCTGAGTCTCCCAGTGCATCTCCAGAGAAGCGGAATCCTCGTTTATCAGGCTGGGTTTCATACGGTTGTGCAAGCCGACTCTGGGCTGAACGTGAGCTACGACCTGGCCCACAGCCTCTTTGTCAGCCTGCCCCCAGAGTACCGAGGCCAGACCTGCGGCCTGTGTGGGAACTTCAATGGGGCCGCTCAGGACGACTTTGTGACCCATAACGGCTCCCTAGGGAAGGACGCCTTCCACTTTGCTGCGGACTGGAAGTCGGAGGCTGTCCCTGGCTGTGACGATGGCTGCCGCGATTCCTGCCCTGTGTGTGAAGATGAGGAGAGTCTGGTGCAGTCCAAGTCCCAGTGCTGGGTGATCCAGGATCCTGACGGGCCGTTCTCCTCCTGCCACTCCCAGGTTGAGCCAGGCCCCTATCTGTCTGATTGCATCTTTGACCTGTGTGTGTCAGGAGGGGCTGGCAGTGCCCTATGCGAGTCCATTCAGACATACGCAGCCGCCTGCCAGAGAGCCAACATCACCATCTCCCCTTGGAGGAGCGAGGCTTTTTGTGGTAAGGCTGCTCTGCTATTGGACTGTGTGCTGCTGGTGGGCACACAGATCTTATGTGATCAGATTCTATAAATATTTGTAGCAGGAACCCAAATTCTGTTGTAATCCAGTCCCCAACTACAAAGGCTTGTAGACATATTAAAGACAAGGTCTGAATTGTCTTCTAGAGAAGGAGAAGATCAACCAGTCCCAGGTTGTCCCTCTCATTCCAGGGTGAATTTGACCTACCGAT